AGGATACTTGAGCGGGGCACTGAGGACAAGCATTCAAACAGCAGAGTACAGAGTATAAACATTTGTGGAGGACAGTAGCCAAATGTTTGTAGAAGTGACCTCGTGACCAGAAGGTCAGCGGTTCAAATTCCTGGACCGCCTGGCAGACAGCAAGTGGCTGAGGCACAACAACTCCCATCGAGATGCTGTAGAGCGAGGCGGCACTCAATCACTGCAGTGGATCGGTTACTTGCTAAGTTACTTACTAAGATACTTGACACATGCCAGATGCTTAAATGTTCCAATAAATGAAACTGTCTCACTGCTACAGACACACTGCGATGGTTCACCTGTCAACGGAAATAAGGTTCATCTTCTGTGTGCATTCAATAGCTGGATTTGTTGGGATAAAAAAAGAGGATGAAACAGAATTTGCAGACACATGTGAGGATAAAACTCACGAAAATGATGTCCTCATGAGGCGAGTGCCTATAATGTGAAACTGTTATTAACGCCACTGGTTTCTCTGCAACTCTCTGCTGCTTCCACAGTAGTCGAGTCTCTTTGGCTCCCTCTAGGTAACTGTTTCTGCACATGTTTGCAGAAATGTACAGATTGTTGCTGAGTGTTTGTTTTGCTGTTGTGACTGCGTCCTGTAATGTGTCAGAGACGTTTGTCACAGCAGATTAATATGATGACTGCTATTGCACCAGACATCTCAAACAACTTCAGTCACCATATTAGACCGGGCTATGGGGTTATATGCATCTCACATGAGGTGTCTCCTCCCAGTTAAACAACAACAGTGGATTCTCATTTCAAAGTTGGGGGTTTTGTGCGATGTGTTTTACCAAACTGACAGTTTATCCCTAAAAGATTGTGTCTGTTCACCTGACCAACTAAAATCATGCATCTTCCATCTGTTTTGTTTTTCCTGGTGAGCTCTCTGGAGGAAAACTTGTGGCTGCAGCTCGTGCAGGAACATGAAGGCTCTGCTCCTCTCTTGCGGATTTGGACTCTCTGTAACAATCACTGCAGGGGAGACAAGTTGATCTGCTGAAAATGTTCATGCATCAGTGGATTTAGCTGCTTGATTTCACCAAAAGTCTAAATCAAAGCAGAAAACCGCATTTTAAATTGTTTCAGTGGTTTTAAAGAATGTAATATCCCTGTGATCCTTGACAGGATAAAGCTGGTATAGCTAATGGATGATTGGGTGTACATAATGTTATGTCTGAAAGCTGATTTTCATATAGATTTACTGGAAAGGTTTCATCCTCTCTGAACATTTACGAAAAAAAAAATGGCTGCAGCTATTTGTCTCGAGTTGTTTTTGTATCAACAAGTACAACAACTCTCCATGTTAATCCTAAATCAAACCGGTAAGTGTATCTTGTGCTGTCTATATAATCAGTGTTGTCCCTTTAAATTAAGGTGTCTTGACTTTTTAGGATCCCTGTAATAACATGTTGCCACCTCTTGCTGCACCCATGTAGGTAGTCTAGACAGCTGTGCTATAATAGTCATTGTAACAGGGTGTGCAATCACATGTGACATCCCCACGATAATAGCTGATGTCTTCGTAATTGGTGTTATCCATTGTGCCGTCCCTGTAATCTGCGCTGTCCCACATGAGTAGTTGGCCAGGTGACACTCAGACCGCCTCCAGCAGAGAACACTTTTGATCTGTCACTACACGGCACTGTCGCCTTCACATGTAGATGAAATCCGATGCAAGTAGCAATCACACCTGCCTGGAGTCTTGATGTGGTTATCATTTAAAATGATTTAAATTAGCCTTCTTTTAAATTCTGGCCTTTTGATAATCACACGTTGTCACACGCCAGAAGATCCAAACCCCAGCGCTGCATTAATATCCGAACATGAAGGGTTAGTGCAGCTGTCGTAATGCTGTCATAATTGTGGTTATTGTAACACAAATACAAGCCTGGGTAAAATAAATGACAGGGGCATTCTAAACAGCAGCTTACACACAGAATAAAAGTCACACTCCATTCTAATGATTTATTATAATGAACATTTACATTTTTCAACGGTATTTTCTTTATGTGTGGAAAACATGCACTTAGAAAGCCACCGGCCACCTGATAGCAATTGTGTCAATTATGAGGTTTCTACCATAACCAGCCATTCTGGTGTGTGTTTACCACTACTAAGTTTCAGTAGCATAGATACAAATATTTGAAAACCCAAAAGACACACATATTGAGGAAAAGAAAAGAAAAAAAACAAAAAAACGCTATCATCTCCAAAACATTATGGACAGATTAGAACCCAACACACTCGGCCACATACATAATTCCAAGCCCTTTAATTTTATTTTCAAAGGGGATGTCTGTTTAAATTACTTTTATATGCAGGACACTAAAAAGCTTACCCAGAGCGAAAGGACCCTGGTTTCCTGAACCATATCAACTGATCACAGTGACATTAGAGCGGTAGAGATGTAAAAGGAAGAGCAAATACGCCATCTAGGGCAGAAAGACGGGAAGCACAGCTCGGTAAAAGTCTGTAGCAGCAATCATGAGTCTATGATTTGCAAGTTAGATTGCTGCCTATTCATGACATTCATAATCAGACACGTAGTAAAAAGTGAAAACTGTCATGTAGGCACGGTACAATAATTATGTATATGAGCAACTGCTAGTTAGTTTAAATGGGTATCGGACATGTTTCAAGCTGTTTGATTTGTGTCACTGTACTTCCAGTTTATTACAGACAAGAATAGAAATGCTTTGTTGTCATTGCATTGTGAAAAACACAATGAAATGAAAAGTGGCAATTTGATTGGTGCATAAAGATACATGCACATAAAAAGGCAACCTTAAAAAAACCTTTAAAAACTCCAAAATATGAAATAAATTAATAATAAATGGTCAAATCCAACACAAGAGGCAACGGTTGCAGCACTGTGAGTGTTGATTATTGCACTAGAAATAGATGCAGTTGTTGCAGTTTGAATGAACATTATTACACACAAATAAAGGATTTCACAGTCGTCATTCCCTGCCTGTAGGAGTTTAGTGCTCAAAAACCAACCTGGGAAAGAAACTGTCTTTAAATCTGATGGTCCAAATGGCCATAAGCAATGTTCGTTTGTCTGTTTTACTGTGACATTAGTTTCACCACGTTCATGATAGAGCACTGCGTTATTACACACTAACATCTTCAATTAAATTCGATTTAGTTTATTTATTATAAGCACCAATTCATAGCACAGAGTCATCTCAGGGTACTTCACATAGTAAGAAGTAAGTACGTGTACTTTGTGCAATGACAATAAAGTTGAATCTAATCTAAACTAATGTAATGTAATCTAAGGTGAAGGCCTCACAACACTGTATTAGAGAGAAACCCAACAACTCTGTCTTGAGCAGCTCTTTGGTGACAGTGGGAAGCTAAAATACTCCCTTTACTGGGAGAAGTGACCATTTGATGTGGAAATATCAGCCGGTTTACAGCACAGCCGGTGTTTTCCATTCATATATATGATAAGCTTATCAGACAACATTGCTGTTGGCTTGGAAATGGCTCTGAAGTGCCTGCTAGTTAACATGTCGTGGTAATGGGCTGCGTTTGAGACCGCTGTCTGATAACTACAACTGAAAATAGTTTGAATGACAACAGCTTTATTGGGAATTCAGCTGCATTGAACTACAGTGTATGTGAGCACAGAGAGGAGCAAACAAAGGTCAACAGCAGCTGAGTTTAGGTTTTTACTGAAGCTCAACAATACAAGCGCTCACAGTCAATGTTTCTTGATTGCAATCCATATGAGTTGATATGCAGCGTTTTCTTTTTGCACATCTTTTGCCTCCGTCGGCCACTGAAGGGGGTTTTGCTTGAGGCTGAGACATTTTAGAGTGAGCAAAAGCAAATTGTTTCAAAAAAAACTTGGTTGACTGAGAGGCAGCTGCTCATTCAAGCTTTTAATTTACAACTCATAGTTTATAACAACCACAGACCACACAAAAAAAATGGATTTTCACCATATGGTCCCTTGATAAGCTGCATCTGGTGTGAATGCTGCATGCAGACGCGATTGGCGCGAATTTGGACGCACGTCATTTGCGCGAGTAAATTCTCTCCATTTGCGCGTCCGCCAGGTGTTTCTGCCCGTTTCCTGTCATTTTCCAGTGTGGTACCATCAAACATGATTGTGCTTGACTATATTGCTGCTTTGTATCTGCTGTGAAAGGCCTCCAGAAACACACAAAGCTCTGGGAATTCCACCACCTTCTCCAGGAGCTGCGCCTGGATGACGACCGCTACTTTCGGCTGACTCGGACCCAATTTGACGACCTGTTGGAGAGGGTCGGTACCAGGTTATCCCTCCAGGATAGTCACCACAGGATCTCAACGCTGATTGGCCCTCACAGCGCGAATAATCGCTTCAGTTCAGATTTTTCAGTTTGCGCGAATAAAACGTCCAATTCGAATTTGGGTCACTAGGAGACACACCGGGAATGATTTTTAATCGGGTCTGGTGTGAACACGAGCTGCAGGGTGGCACAGTTGGTAGCACTGTTGCCTTGCAGCAAGAAGGTTGCCGGTTCGTGTCTCGGTGGGGCACCGGAATCTTTCTGTGTGGAGTTTGCATGTTCTCCACGTGGGAGCAGCGTGGGTTCTCTCCAGGTTCTCCGGCTTCCTCCCACAGTCCAAAAACATGTTGAGGTTAATTGTTGATTCTAAATTGTCCGTAGGTGTGAATGTGAGTGTGCTTGGTTGTCTGTCTCCAAGTGTAGCCCTGTGATAGACTGGTGACCTGTCCAGGGTGTCCCCTGCCTTCGCCCCAAGTCAGCTGGGATAGACTCCAGCCCCCCCATGACCCTAATGATGATTAAGCGGTGTACAGATAATGGATGGATGGATGGTGTGAACACACATTTTCTTCAGTTATATAGTCAACTGGAGAAAAGGACTTTTATTTTGAACCCGCGCGGCTTCGTGCTTTCCGGTGTCGACCTGTAGCTAAGGAACGAACAGAGCTCGCTGTCTGCCGACGAAGAGACGTCGCCGTGAGACGAACGGACAGACGACAACAAAATGAACACGACAGAAAAGAAGCTGGCGGACTTGATACGAGAACACCCGAACCTGTACGACCAGGCCCGACGGGACTACAAGGACACGTTGAAGGGACATGTGTCGTGGAGGGAGATCGCGGACGCCATGGGGAAGTCTGTGGAGGAGGTGAAGCTCAAATGGAAAAACCTCCGCGACAAGTTCTGCAAAGCGAAGAAGCGACTGGCCAACAGAAACTTCCCCCTGCTGGACGACGAGGAGAACCCGCTGGAGAGGCCCGTCCCGGTGCTGTTCAACCAGCTGGCCTGGCTCAGCGAGTACGTGAAGCCCAGAGTGGAGAGAAGTCTGGGGGAGTCCGAGGAGGTCTGTCCGTCTATCTATCTGTCTGTCCTTCACCGGGTTCATGTGTTTGGTGTCAGAATGTTAGCTTAGCAGCCATTAGCTAACTGTGTTTAACTTAGCAAGGCCCATAGAAACACAGACACTTTCCTCCACCTATCACGGTGATAACTATGATATAATGCTCTACTCAAAGCTACACCTCACTTTGTTTGTGTGTATGTTTGTGTTTTACAAGTTAAATGCCGGGAAACATCAACCCATCACTGCTGCCTCTCACAACATCCACCTTCAGTTTTTCAAGATAAAAGTCCTCCAGCTCTTTGTAGGTGAAGCACAGCAACACCTCACAACTTTACAATTAGTTTTAAAACATCAGAACCAGACAGATACTGGATTTTTAGGTTAAAATAGATATTTACATTTTTATTTTAATTGTATTTAAATTTC